GAGCCGCTCTATTTCTCTGCACCCTTCGCTCCACACCTTGCTCCCCAAGAGCATTTGTACAGGAATTTGTTGCCCGTACATTAATCAGCTGGCAGGCTCCGCTATGCTTCAGGCCGCCAACCAATAACAAGGTCACAATCAATCCAGCTACTGCAAGTAAACAAATTTCACATCTGCTAGTTAAAATATAAGTGCTATCCATGCAAGAAAAAAACAATTCCTAACTGATCATGTCAGGGGTATTAACCATCTAACTAACTAAAGCCCCGACAATCACACCCAACACTGCATTCAGCCACCATAACAGCACACCACTACATTCACACCAGCAGACCCACTAACATACAATCCCAGGCACTTAACCACTACACCAAACACAGGAACACAGGACAGCTGCTACTGAATTGTGTCTGTCACTTTTCCTTACCATGGGCAATTTAAAGTTACCTGTCAATATTTTAATTCAGTAGCACATCAGAGACCAACAACATTTCCGAGTTATGAGGTTTAAAGTGTCAAAGCTCCCTTTATCAGATAACTGACAAATGGAGATTTGACACTCAAAAGTGATTTATTGCACTGTTTTATTTGTGAGATGCCATGTTAAGGGCTCTGTAGAGGTAGCACAACATTTTTCTAAATGAGTAAATACTGTGGGGTAGTATCTTTTATGGGACCTTTTGAGGGCTGTTTTCCAGGTAGGTATGGAAGATGGAATGGTTAATCTGATCGATCTAATCAGACGTCAACAGAGTTGAAGTAGCCCCTATATAAGAGCAACAGGAAGAAGCCTTCTGTATAATGAAATGCACCATAATAACCACAGTCATTAATGTGCACTCTAGTGGTCACTGGGAGGTAAACAAATGCACATTCTTCTGGTAAAGGAAATCCTTTGGGCAAACAAAATTTTAACATCAGACCTAATGCAATTTTTATAGGCTGCGGAAGATATATGTTTCATATATGAAGGTTATGCATATCATGGCTAGGTGTTTTTGGGAGTGGTAGGTTAGGCTAGTATTATGGACCCTGGCTAGGGGCTCCATAGGTTTTCAAAAGTTCCCAAATAAATGATATGAGAGATCCAGGTTTACTTACAAAGAGATCTTTAAATAACACATCAAAGTTACAGAAGAGGCAGGTTAACTATCAGATGGATAGCCTCGAGCACACTCAGCAAAACTTAGCCAGACCTCGAGACCCCAGGCATGACTGAAACTACACATCTTATACCCTAACTGCTGGCTGCGAGTCAAAGAATGATTAATTAAGCTATCTCAAACACTTGGATGAGCCAGGCCATGTCACACTTGGCTTCCAGTGGGGGGAAGAAACAACCCAGGCTTTGAAGATAACATGAGAGAGAGAAAGTTCCCCTGACAGAGGCTAACACTGTCCTCTCACAAGACTCAGGGCAACTAAGCACCAGTGTGCAACAAAGACAGAGTCACCCAGGCCACACAGCTAGCAAGGGTGACAACACTAATGCTGAACTTTAATGCATGCTCACTACAAAGTGGAGTGCTCTACAGATACCACTCACAAAATACAGACAAACTTCTACCAGCCTACCTTGTTGAGAAGAATTCAGCAATCACTATAAAATGTTTATTGTCAGAAAACAACAACTATCCTAAACTGTACAAAACAGCTTATTACCCAAATCCAGACCATTCTTCAGTCTACACTTTTTTATTTACTACATTTCTACAACATCATGAGCTCATTACTCAAAGCAGGTTACCATCAAAACAAGCAGGTGAAAAAGAAACGAGAAACCTGACATATTAAAACACAGACACAACTAAAACTAAGTCAAAAGGTTTTATTTGAATGCTTACACTGATTCCTAGGCATCACAAAATTCTAGGATCTCTCTCTGCCCTCTGATCTTCTCTCAGCACTGGCAACTCAAAAGAGAACGCCTACCATCGTCACTGCTCCAACCCAATACACACCCAACCACAAGTCAGATTTGACAGTCATCCAGAAAACTGAATTCTGACTTCCCCCATGTAGCTAATATGCAAGCATCATCAAGAGCTACTACATGGCAGTTTCATACAAGTGCACTTTTCTGTCTGGTCAAGGTTCACCATAGCTAGAAGGATAATAGGGTTTGGAACACACAGCTTTTTGAGCCTTTATCCAACAACAAGGTTCAGTCCAATGAAGTGTCCATATCTACACCTTTAATCATCACTGAGTAGGCAGAGAATCCATGCATTTCATATGCAAAACCAATATATCCCTATTGTACCTTTGCTAGTACTATACCCTAAATCTCAAACTCTCATGTCTCTTACCTGGCCTGCAGTTCCAAAGTTCGTTCTTTCCCAGACACCTGAAACGTATGTGGGTATTCTTCATTGTGAGTTTCCACAATCTTCATGCCATCAATGCCAACTCTGGTCCGAACTGCAAACTTAGATCCCACTAAACTGAATTTGGGGACACAGTATAGCAAAATGTTGTTGAACTGCAAAAACACAAGATACACCCACTGGCGTTAGTTATCACAAAAACAACGCAAGGTTGCCAGTGAGTTATATGCTGGTGAATGACTGATGATCATCTTATAAAACATCACTAGAATGTGTGCTTTATAAGACAAACATCCCACAGCATTTACCCAACCATGGTTTAAGTTCTCTTCCCTTTCCTTTCAATCACCCGTCCCAAAATTGCTTCTCACTGTCTTCTTGTAATATAAAAAAACACGCTGGAGATCAAAATTGCACATTTGTGCACAACATATTAGGTAGCATTTTTAAGTGCAAGGAAAATGCTACAATCAACAGGGGAGCAGCCTTGAAGAACGGTATACAAAACACACAGATGTAAAATGCTCATCTGTTGCACAAGGAACTCCTTATGCAGAAAGGTCCTTAAAAAGGCACATACTTTGAATTACAAAGATGGGTGAGCACATAAACACATGGAATTGCCTTATACAAGTCAGACCATCAGTCTTTATAGCTCAGGACTGCTACTCTGCCTGGCAGCTGTTATCCAGGATCTCAAGGTACACATTTCAAGTTATCCACTACTTGACCTGTTTAACTGGAAATGCCGCATATCGAACCTGGGACATTCTGTCTGCAAAGCACATGCTCTACTATATGTCTGTGGCCCCTCTGTAATTTCACTGCACAGGTACATTACTGAGGACTGCATTCTAAAAAAGTCTTAAGGCACTTAATTTGTAGCAAGACACAGACAGAAATATGCACAGGTAACTCTAGGCAACTCCCCTAGCCACATGAAGATCCATGCTGCTACCCTCACTGCCGCTTTGCCAACAGTCCCTGTTCTACACAATGCCCTGCATCAGATCTGCTCAGCTTTATTTGAACTATGTAGTCTTGTACACATATGCATCACCTGAGGGACTGCCTTTCCCCACATGTTCCCCAGACAGCACTGTGTTCAGGGTCTCAAAACTGACTGGCCCTCCCGGGTCCCAAAGATGCCAGGCTGGCCACAACCAGGTCCAGAGCCTTCTCAGTGGCAGCTCCGTACTGGTGGAATGAGCTCCCAGAAGACATCAGGGTCCTGCAGGGCCTACAAGATGGAGCTCTTCCACCAGGCCTTCACTCAAGGAGCTGCATCTAATGACTGAACTGTGATAAGGCCCTATTCCCCTGGACTACCATCAGCAGCCTGTGCCTCCCGCATAAACAGATCAAGATGAGCTGCTCATCAACACAGATTTGATCCCACTTGAATATTCCATCATGATTGTTTCCACCATCTCTATACAATACTACTACTATTAATTTTGTTGTCACTAGCACTTTACGATAGTTTGGATTTTTTATGACTGTTTTGTAATTGTTATTTTATGTGTCTTGACTTGTTATGTAAGCCGCCCTGAGCCTGCTTCGGCAGGGAGGGCGGGGTATAAATTGAATGAATGAATAAATAAATAAATGGCGGCAAACACCAAACCATGGTTAAAAGAACAGAGCAGGAGCGTCCTCAGCTAGCAAAGTGTTCTTATAAACAGCAGCTGCAGTAAATCCTTGTGAAAAAATGCTGACTAGAAAATCAGATCACTAGGTTTTCCTTACTGAATTGAAATGCCTGATAACGAAGTCTACCTATTTCAGTTATTCTTAACACCAAAAGCAACTCATTTAAATGCTATTACATAGATACTACACTAACCTATTAAGGTTATTTAAGAGTCCAGAAATTCAGTAGTCATCTTGACTGCGGCTCTGCTTTTTATCTCTAGGGTATACTATAAAATGGCTTGCAAAGAAGAAATCATTATGGATTATGCTGAGAGTGCAGATTAAGTACATACAAGGATTTCAAAGGATCAGTTTGATGGTTTAAGCTACATCTGTGTCATCTAAAGCTTATATGGGGAAAAAGTGACTTTTTTCTTGTTGCCGTTTTAAGTATGCACGATTCTACCGCATGAAATGGGAGGAGGAGGATGAAGGGCAGGACTGAAATGTAAATATATACTCCCCTGCTCACTCAGGCTGGGGGGTGGGGGAATCTACCACTGACTAAAAAGTCATTCCTGTGCTTCGCTAATGAAGTCTGCATCTATTCAGCAACCCAGACGGTACTTAATCAGTCTTTTTGAGTCTCATTTCATTTAGAGGAAAGAAAGATCAATTGGGGAAAGTGTGATAACAAGGGTCATGCGCAGCAGTGGCACAGGAAGCGGAGCAGGGTCAGTCCTGCCTCCCTGGTCTTCTCAAAGAAGCCAGTTTTGCACCTGCAAGCCACCGTTTCCAAACTGAAAGCCAGCCAAAGAAACATGCACATTCCCTTCTCTCTCTCTCTGGCATGAACCCCATCCTGCTTTCCTTTACTGGCTTACACCAGGGGTCCCAAACAGGGTGCCTGAGGGCACCATGGTACCTGCAAACGTATTCCCCAGTACTTGCTGTTTATAGAAAGTGGGGAGGGCCAAGCGGCAGCCATTTTATAGCACTCATTCTGTTGTTGCGCCCATCACACTCTGCCAGAATTCCAAAGGTGCCTGCAGGTTAAAAAAGGTTGGAAACCCCTGGCTTATACTGTGATTTAGGGCTGTATTTGTACTGACACTGGTCAATACTAAGAAGAAAAAAGGGGGGAAAGACTGAACCTAAACCTAGAATTCAGAACCTAAAAAAGGGTAGTCAAGAATAGAAGAGGGCCAACTCTAAAAATCTAATTGTTCTGTCTGTATTAGACCTCTGAGGAAGGCCTGTAAAGGCCGAAACGCATTAGGTCTATCTAATTAGCCCTTGTATGTTTTTATATTTGTATGTGAGGTAGGAATGGGCCCTTGTTTGTTATTTTAATTTATGTTGAATAAATACATGTATATTTTTGTATGTTTTATAATTAGATTTTTAGAGTTGGCCCTCTTCTATTCTTGACTAACCTTTTTAAGGTACTTGTCAATACTAACCAAGGCTCCAGTCTTAATCAGAGTTTGGATTTGGAAACCCTGGTTAAAAGGGAGTTTGATTTTCCACTGATGCAAATGTAACGTTAAACTTGGCTTTGTGATGCCTAAGTAAGGGAACACTAGATTTGCATCGATGATCTTCAAACTTTGATTTTCGAGGAGCGAGAACTATGTCTACCCCTAGGCTCCTGGAATGGAAGATACCAGAGAGAAGAACGGCAGCTGTTTAAGAATTTTATTACACAATTAGGATAAATGATGTCAGAGATAATACTTACTAAAAAGAGGTATCTCTCTTGAGCAGATGTATTACGAGCAGCAAGTTTAAGGATCTGTCCTTCTTTGATGAGTTCGTTCGAAGGATTGACAATGTCTTCCTCTTCTCCTAACATTTCATAAACTTCCCACATCTTCTTTAAATTTTCCTGGTCGATCAAAACAAAAACAAAAAATATCAATGAGGCTACTTATGATCACTTTTAACAAAGTTAACAAAACCATGAAGAATAAAGCAATAGCTTTTTAAAGAAAAATCATAAGCAGATAACTGTGAAAACCATTGACAGCATTGTTACAAACCAACTGTTCACTTGGTTCAGCCAATGCAAGGTGATTTTGCTTGTGTGTGTGTGTGTGTGTTGGGAGAAAAAGAGATGAATAAATATTTTCAAACCATCATTTGTATTGAGATACTGACGTATTTTATTCAGTCAGTGACAACAAACCTTCTTTAGCAGAACACTTAAATCACATGATAGTCTGGCTGCAATACTGAATTGCTTAGATTGGTTATATACCTTTGGATCAACCAAGCAGGGCTCTCAATTTCTAGAGCAGCTGTATCCCAACAGATGAGGGATGAAATCCCAAAATCAGAAATAATACCTTTAGACATTTATCTGCTATTATGACATGTTTATTGCTTTATAACTGTTGACCTTATAACCTTAGCTTGTTATTTAGCTCTGACTTTGCCTATCTTCAAGGGGCCACGGTGGCTCAGAGGTTGAGCTGCAGACCGGAAGGTTGGTAGCTCGGACATTCGAGACCTTAGTGCCCCGTGACAGAGTGAGCTCCTGTCTCTGGCCCCAGCTGCTGCCAACCTAGCAGTTCGAAAGCAAGACATTGCAAGTAGATAAATAGGTACCGCTTCAGTAGGAAGGTAACAGCGTTCCTTGCTCCTCAGCGTTTAGTCATGCTGGCCACATGACCATGGAAAAGCCTTTGGACCGTGCTGGCTCTTTGGCTTGGAAACGGAGATGAGCACCGCCCCCTAGAGTCAGATTCGACTGGCTTTCGAGCAAGGGAAACCTTTACCTTTACTTGCATATCTTAAACATCATCACATTACATGTTAATTTGCTGTTGTCCCTGTCTATAAGTTCTAACTTTACCTACCATTCCAATGTATGAATAAGTGTGCCTTGCACACGAAAGCTCACACCTTGAATAAACCTTTGTTGGTCTTAAAGGTGCCACTGGACTCTAAATTTGTTCTACCACTTCAGACCAACACGGCTGACTACCCGGATCTAGCTTGAGGGCACTTTCAAAAAAAATACAGCTTCACCAAAAGCCTGCTATCCAAGTCAGGAGAGGAAACGAACTGTGGGGATTCCTCCACTGGGGGAGATGGGTAGTCGGAAGAGTCCAGCCTTCAGATGAGAGGAATCACCTAATCAGGCCACCCTACATCTCCAAGAAAGAATGCATTTTCAGAGATGCCTACCACCCATACATTCATCTTCTTAAAAAAAAACACAAAGTAGTAGTGTGCCTTCTACAAAACTACACTGTTCTATCCATATGCAAATATATGCATGTGTATTAATTTAAATGCATGATCAATGAACTGTCTTTAAATGGGTTACTCTTCTACTTGATACCTGAAATGGCTTTACCATTTAGAGTCTCTAATTCTTTCAAGACAGTTCAGTGACAGCAAATAGCACGGTTAACAAATGTAAATCTTTCCTACTCTGGATGGTATATGCGGTCAATTTTGTATGAATTCCAATTAAAATATGAACAATGCTTTGACAAGAAGATTATGCAAAGGAGAAAATCCCCACAAAAGCTGCTCACCATTTTTCGGATGGCACTGTTGGAGTGACTTGCTGCTGTGGATATTATTTCCAAGGATTCTGTAGGAGAAAAAAAATCCCAACAAAGATAAGTTGCCAGCCCTACAATAAGTTAATTTCGAATTCAAATGGCAGTATGTAAATACGTAAAATTTGGTGTTTTTTTTTAAAAAGATTACATGTAAGGAAGCCTGCATGACTGGAACCAATGAGTTCCCTTGAATTATCTGAATCTGATACTCTGAGTCTACTCACTATGTTGATATAGGTAGGTTAGCCTCTCAGTGCAATGAAGATGTGGGTCAAGTAATATCAAGGGTTGCCAGCTCTGGGTTGGGAAATACCTGGAGATTTTAAGGTGTGAAGCCTGAGGAGGGCAGGACACAGGGAGGGGCTTCAACGGGGTATTAATGTTATAGAGTTGACCATCCAAAGCAGCCACTTTCTCCAAGAGAACTGATCTCTGTTGCCTGGAGATCCGATTTATTCCCAGGAGACCTCCAGCCACCACCTGGAGGTTCCAAATATGCAAATTCCACTAGGAACACACCATCAAAAATTGCCAAAAATATATAAACTCTATTTCACAATTTATCTCTATATCACAATTTACAATTTTAAAGTTGGTGGTGTCACCCAACATCAAAAAAGTGCATACTGTAACTATAAACAAGGCATAGAATACAATGCTCCCCCCTTCAAAGATAAATATTAGTCCATATAGTCCGTTCAGCTTGGTAGGAGGAGTCCACATTCACAGAGCATGTTCGAAAGCAGCCTTCGCAAAAATGCCCATTCCAGATACTTAAAGGAGTCGTTTCCATTAACTTCTTCAGTTTGCCGGCCGCATACTTGGAAATTGTTGAAATTGGGTTCCTACCAAGCTGAACGGACTATATGGACTAACATTTATCTTTGAAGGAGGGAACATTGTATTCTATGCCTTGTTTACAGTTAACAGTATGCACTTATTTTGATGTTGTGACACCACCAACTATAAAATTGTAAATTGTGATATAGAGATAAATTGTGAAATAGAGTTTATATATTTTGAGCAATTTTTGATGGTGTTTTCCTAGCAGAAATTGCATATTTGGTATCTTTGTGCTGCTAGGCTTCCCGGGTTTTTTTTGACCACCTGGAGGTTGGCAACCCTAGGTAATATCCTTTGTTGAATGAAAGTGTACAAAACAAACAAACGAACACACCCTCTCAACAGAACTCTTTTCCAGGATTGGAGATATGATTTGTCAGCTACAGCCTCCTTTATAAAAAACCACAGCTAAGCCCATCTTTTTCATACATGGGAAAATAAATACCAATACAAAACGTATTACACAAGCAAAATTTATTTTAACAAATTAACTGTGCTGGGTATGAAGCTTTTAGGGAAATAAGAAGACATTCACTGAGTTTAGGAAACAACCCCACAGTAAAAGTAACAAATGCATGCCATCTAGAGTTCCATTTAACAGGCCAGCTCAACATGTGAACTAATGAACCCAACTGGTAAATGGTATCCAATTGTGGATAAGTTAACCTTTGAGTCTTTTGATTGGAAAGCGATTAGTGCAGCACAATACTCATTGTTATTGATAAGCTAGCAAACTTCTATCAGTATTTGAGTAAGTCAAATTGGAAGTCTGTATACACACTGACATAGATACGAAAAATTGTTAAAATGTTGTTTGAGAACCTGTATTTATTTGTTATGTTCTGAATTAAAATCTAATAAAATATTATGGTTAAAAAAAAAACTATGATTGATTGTAGCAGAATCATAGGGTCCATGAAATAATTTTACCAATTATATGGGAAATGTTGGAGTTACCTTCCTGGAGAAAAAAATTCTGAATGTGCATGGTTTACAGACGGACCTATTCCTTTCCAGATGTAAGCTACTTGGGAAAGCATTTTCTTCTCCTTTCATAATGCTAGAATTCAGGGTCACCCCATGAAGCTGTTGGGCAGTAGATTCAGGACAAACCAATTCATATAACATAACTTATGAAGCTTACTGTTGTAAGATACAGTGATCCCCCCCCCCAATTCAGGTGGCTTTAAAAGGAGATTTGATCAGTCCACGGAACACAGTCCTATTAATACCTGTTAGTTAGGACGGCTAAATGGAACCTCCATGGTCAAAGGCAGTATGTTTTTGAACACCAGTTACCAGGGAGCAGCACCAGGCTGTTGCCCCTCTGCCCTGCCCGAGGCCTATCCGGAGAGCAGCTGGCTGGCCACTGTGAGAATTGGGTGCTGGACTAGATGCCTCTTTGGTCTGTTCTTAAGTGTTAAAAAGACAGAAAATAATTCCTTGGTTCTAAGGCATGCACAAGGACTTTGCTTAGAGAACGCTGTTTCCACAGAGATCACAGGAGAAGACCCCTCCCCACACACACATACCTTTTCTAATGCCAAACAGGAAAAGAGGATAAAAGACATTTCTAATCATGTGATCTGTGTTCAGAATCTGCAACCCTTTGCAGAAAACCAAGGCTGAAAATACCACTTATATGTTTGTTTGCCCAGAAAACTCTCAACAAAAGGAACATTTTTCCATAGACATTTAACTACTGCACAGAACAGAATATTAAAAAGGTAACTGCTGTGAAACAGTGTTCTCCCTGCCCCTACCCAACCTTGAATCTGAAACATTAATGACTCCTTTTGTTACAGTGCTTTCACAATACTGAACATATATCCCACACAAACAAACAAACAAACAAACAAACATGTATTTACTTTCAGCATCCTTCCAGTCTGGGGAGTCGGGAGGCAATTTTCTTAGGTAGTCCTTCAAGAGCATCTCATATCGGGGAATGCGTTGCACGGGTTCTAGCATGTGATGCTGCAAGGTCAGGTTTCCACAGGCTTTTTGTTTCTAATGGGGGTAAAAAAAAGCTTAATGATACTAGAAATATTTTATGCTCTCTCTCTCTCTTTCTGCTAATGCTATACCCTGTCTACCTTTTTTCTAAAAAAAATGTACCTAAGCTTAAAGTCTGCAAGTAATACTAAGAAATGAAACTTTTTAATTAAATAAAATCCCCAGTTGAAACAAGCGGCTTTATTAAATCATTAAAAACCCTTTCTGTTAGCAATTAACATAGATTAATCTACTGTTTGTAGTTCCCATTTGTAAATAATGGTAATACCAGAGAAACACAATGAAGGAATAACGTACAATAATTTAATTAAAACAGAACTTTAAAATTGTCATTTTGATTATACAATTCAAACATTAACCAGATTATGAAAATGACTCAATTATTTTATTTTTCAATGAAAAAATAAATCACTGTGCAGTTAGGAGTATTTACTGGCACCAAGGGAAGCACTTGCTGTACAATTTAGCATTCCCCTCCCTATCTGATAATCCTGTCTCAAGCCCTTGTCTCTCTGCTTTGCTACTTTGCTCAGACTTAAATGACCTGGATAGCCCAGGGATAGCCCGATCTCATCTGATCTCGGAAGCTAAACAGGGTCGGCCTTGGCTAGTATTTGTAGTGCAACCTCCAAGAACAAGCGGGGTCGTGACACAGAGCCAGGCAATGGCAAAACCACACCTGAAATGTCTCTTGCCTTAAAAATAAGCCTAGCTCACCACCTAGCGGGGCATAACACTAAAACTTTGTATTGTCTTACAGGCCCTGCAGAACTGTTTCAGGTCCTGCAGGGCACGGGTGTCATTAGGCAGAGAGTTCCACCAGGACAGCACCAGGGCTGAAAAGCCCCCGGCTCTGGTTGACGACAATTGGATATCCTTCAGCCCAGGGATTACCAGGAGGTTTTTATCTCCAGAGCATAATGCTTTTAGGAGGATATACTAGGAGAGGCAGTCTCTTTGATACACCGGTCCTTTTAGGACCTTGAACATCAGTACCAAAACCTCAAACCTGATTGTCGTGCTTGGGGTTGCCCCCAGGCCCTTGGAATCCAGTCGCTGTGTTGGGGGAAGGCTTAAGAAGGAAACAAATGCCTCAGATGTGGAAGGGCTGGGTGTTGCATCACGCCCCAGACACCTTCCTCAGAACGATTGCCTCTCCTGCTTCTCTCTGTTCTGACTGGGCGATCGTCTCTGAAATCCTCCCACGGCATTCTTCCGCTTCCTTCCTTTTATCTGCAGTCCCCTCCCTTGGGGACACACCCCTTTCTGTTATTCCTGAGCCTATTGCCGCTTCCACCTGTCCATCACCGTGTGCCCCACTCCCTTGGTGCTTCCCCTTTTGGTCCCGCCTCCCTGTATACCCCCGTGTCTCTAGCCTTGAGCGGGGATGTGCAGGGGAGTGTCTACTTCCAGCCAGGACGAAGGGAGCGACGCCCGCTACTTCGGCATCTTCAATTCTGAGGGGTAAGGCTGGGACCCTCCAACTGCCCCCCCGAGTCAGTGGCCAAGGAACGGTGTCCATGCCAGACCCGTCCTCCAGCCCCTTCTCTTCCTGGTTTCCCCTGCGTTTCTGTGGTCGTGGAGGGAGGGGGTTGGAGTCTCGTGAGTCTCCTGGATCTCCCATGCCCCGGGGTCCATCGCCTCCGTCGTCCGCTGAACCTGTCACCCCGGGAGCTCTGTCGCCTGGGGTACATGGGGAGCCCGGCGCTGGCGACGCCAGTCCTGCCGCAGCGGCCAGTGAGGCCGCGGAGGAGCCCGCGGTGGGACACTGATCTGGTACTCAACTTGGAGCCAGTGCAACTGGTGAAGCACTGGTTGAATATGTGCTATTGATGGGGTCCCTCTAAGGACCCGTGCCACTGCATTCTGGACAAGTTGTAATTTCCGGATCGGACTCAAGGGCAGCCCTGCGTAGAGTACGTTACAGCAGTCAGACAATCTTAGGCTCTCCTGGTTATTCTACACACGATGCCATACAATAGTTGTTATTATTATCAGACTTAAATGACGAACTGAAATTCCAGCACAGAATTACATGGTGAAGAAGGTAATTTGTGACCTCCAGGTCCAAAGATCCACAAAGGGCTATTTACACTGCTGGGGGGGGGGGCAGTTGCAGAGAGTGAGACTGAGACTGTGGCGTGGGGGGAATGGTTTTTAAAAACTGAAACACAATTTTCCCCAAAGGAAATTGCCCTCTTCTCTCTCCTCCTCCCCAATTTACCATTTGCTTCACAGGGGAAAGGTGCCTGTATGGTCTGCCTACATGTTTCCCCACAGGATCATCAATGGCTGGGGTGATCATGGTGAAGCTGCATCAGGAAAATGCAAGGGGGGAGAGAGAACAACCCCTTCCCCATTGCCCAGACAAAACTGGGTTTACCTTGACTGTTTCTAAAGTCTTAAAAAACACATAGGATATTCCCTTCACGGTCATCATGTTTAGTCTGGCCCTCAACAGATCATGAACCTTAAATTATCAGGTTATCAACAAATCATGAACCCTAAATTATCAGGTTAGTAATGCAGGAACAATATGATCATGGGAATCCATCCTTAAGAAAACAATTCCTGGACCGAGAAAAAGAGAAAAAGAAAAGAGGGAAGAGGAAAGGAGGCGGTGAGATAAGGAGAGAGAGAAGGTGTATCTGTGATTCCGGTTCAGATAGATAAGTTTCTTACTGTAACTGTTTTAATTACTCGAGATTACTGTTCCAAACTTTTATCACTTTGTATTATTATTATTATTATTATTATTATTATTATTATTATTATTATTATTATTATTATTATTATTATTATTATTATTATTTACAATGATACAAATCGCTATACTTTGATGGTTTCTGTTTGTTGGCATATGGGCTGACTTGTACTGTTATTTTTTCTTTAAAGCTATTGTTATGCCAATAAAGGTTATTGGAATTGGAATTGGAAGAAAGCAATTCCACTTGGCAGGATAGCTGGGGAGGGAGGAAAAGTGTTACAGGATTGATGTTGAATAGATCAAATTTGTTGGAAATTGTAGTTTGGACTTGAGTTGCAACAGTTAATGCCAACTGTGAGCGCTGCATAGCATACTTGGGATATTTTACCAACCTCTCATTATAAATGTTTTTCTTTACTGGTAGAAAAAAAGAAATTAAGATAAAATTTGGTCATTAGCCAAATGCACTTGGTTGCCTTCGTAAGTTACCTCTAAATGCCAGTTTTCTGACATTTCCCTTAAAAACACTTCTTAACGTTTTTAAGCATTACTAATAACAGTCACTGAGGTAGACATTTTGTCATTAGTGCACTACCAGCACAAAACAAGTACATTCAAGCTTCCTTATTTCCCATCTCATACTCACAACACAACTGATATCCAAGGTAAAAATACTAGTTAATTTTTTGTAGCAACACAAATTCCTTAAAGACCTTAACAGTTTGCTTACGTTACAGTATGCTATTAGAATATTTAATCCATCTCAGACAGCTGTCTTCAGGGCACCAGGAATTCTTTCAAAGTTGACTCATGGAAGAACTTCACATTCTTTTTAGAAGATGCCACTCAGGGTCAATTTACATGCTATGGCGAAACTCTTTCAAATATGCTGGTTTCCCCACAGAAATCATTCCTTTGCACTCCACCATTGGCCTTATGTGTGGAGGGGGGGGGCGTTTAAATGATGTGTACCTGTCCTCCCCCCTCCTCCGCACTGGGACTAATGGAGGTTAGGATGAAGAGCTGTTTGTACCGAGAAACTTTATTTTTATTTTGTTTTACTTAGTTTACAACCCATTTTTCTCACCAAGACTGAAGGTGGCTTAGAAGAATATAGAAGACATTTCATTTGGACAGCATAAGACACCCAATAAACAATGCAATGGTACCAGGATTACAATGCAAGCAAAAAGCTGCCTAAAGCATGACACCATAAAGCAGAAAGTGAATTGCTTGGATTAATGCAGTAAAAGCAAGGTGATACACACAATAAATACTGCAATATACTACAAGTCCATTCCCTTTTAAAAGTGTCCTCCTGAGCTGTTCTAATCCCTTTATAAAACCAGTTCTAATTAGGGTTGCCAATCTCCAGGTGGGGGCTGGCAATCTCCTGAAATTACTACTGATCTCCAGACTACAGAGAAAATAATTACTGTGTGTGCTGGAGGGGGGGGGGAGGTGGACTCTACGGCATTATACCTCGACATCCCTCCTTAGGCTCCACCTGCCCCCAAATTTCCAGAAATTTCCCAGCCCAGATTCAGCAACACTAGTTCTAATCCCCTTATGGAAATATCCTCTTGAACATCTGTTTTGCACATTCTACAAAACGGTAGAAGTGTAGGGGCCTTCCTCATCTCCTCAGGCAGGTCATTCCACAAGATGGGTGCCCCAACAGTGACTGCACATGTACAGTGGGGCGGGGAGGGTTAATCTTCTTCCGTGCAACAGCCCCAATCCAAATCACTTCTTGGCTTTTACATACCAGGAAATAACTGATGTAGCATGTTAATATGGCTATTTTGCAAATCATATTCAAGGGCAACTGAAGAGGCAACATTATGCATCACCAGTGCTATACATCCTACTTTTTGAATAAAACAGGAGTCCCGTGGTACAAGCATAACCATTCACATATTAGATCTTACTTCAACAGATGCATAGACCAGTCTGCATTTTCTTCCTGCATTGTCCACTCTAAGCTAGCTTGTTTGTTTTAGAAATTATGTAATACAAGAAGGAGGACCCACGGTACTCGCGCGGGGGGGGGAGCTCCATGCGGAGGAGGAAGCAGCTGCAGGTAAGCCCCCCCTTTCCCCGGCACCAACGGCGAGGCCTGTGTGGCTCCCACCAGGCCCGCCAAGCCTTCTCCCCCACCCCCTGGCACCAATGGCGAGGCCCGCACGGCTCCCAGCTGTCGGGCCCACCAAGCTTTCTCCTCCCCCCCGCGGCGGCAGCGAGGCCAGAGCAGCTGGCCAGATCGCCAAGCCTTCTCCTGCCTCCTCCCCCCTCCAGTGGCAGTGCCTCCCCCCTCCCCCGGCCCTTCAAGGTTTCTCCCCCCCCCACCACAGCCGCCATGGCTCTAGCCACCGGCCCTCCAAGGCTTCTCCCTCCCTCCCTCCCGTTCCCCCCACAGCCAGCAGCAATGGCGGCAAGCCCTGCATGGGTCCTAGCCGCCGGGCCGGCAAGGTCAGGCTCCCCGCCCCCCAGCAACAGCTGCACGGTGCCTAGTGTTAAGTGTGTTCCCTGCGCATGCAGGGATGAATAGACTTTCAATCCATATAAGGCTAAGAAGGAAGCCCCCTCTCCCACATGGAGGGTTTACATGTACTACCAAGACTCAGATTTGATGGCTGGAATCACTGTACCAAGACAACGACATAAAATCTTAAAACTAAACGAAGGCTAAAAAACATAGTAAATTGTACACACGTACACAACCCACCTGGATATCTTGAATAATGGATTTGAACAGAGGTGATCGCTCTGTCCATGTTTTTACCAGTTCCATTGCATTGTCAAAATTCTTCACATATTCCCCATACATCTTGAGAAAAGGGGCTAACTTTTGCAGGATATCACCAATCCTGGGGCTTGTGTCCCTAAAAAAGGCAAAAACAAGCAGTGCTATATAATACATACTCAATTAGAGAACAGTGCTACAAGTGGGGGACCTGCATGGACTTGCAGGGAGCATCTCATTTCTTCTCCCCCTTCCTTGAAAGCCTTGTATAGTGTTTGAAATTATGAAATGAGTTAGCCAAGGATGTGTGCCCTTATCAAGTGGGACAATTGGTATCTAAAAAAGTGATCATGCACAAAAAAAGCTTAAACTTCATTGGTCTTAAAGGTGCCATTGGACTCAAGCTTTGTTCAGTTAGCTACTGTTAGGAGATGATGTTGAAATCCTATAAATATGGGAAGTTGAACTGATTGAGAGCTTTCTTCTCAGAAGGGGCTACTTTCCTGTGATCTCTTTATTTTGGGGGAAATAAACGTTTATGGACTCATGTGATTGCTCATGTAACAATGATGGATTGTACAATGTTTGTTGATTTAGTCAATAGTAAGAATGCAATAATTACATTTTAATCAAACGTTAAAAGGAAGCAGACATTCTCTAATAGTATTTACTTGTGTACTATATACGCTTAACGAGCCTAAAATTATTGAAGTGTAACTCTGGCCAAGAATTAAATTACCTGACATAGGAAAGCAAACTTGTTGCCTAGGGTTTTACCTTGTGGCTAATAGCCACTGATGGACCTCTGCTCCATATGCTTATCTAATTCCCTTTTGAAGCCGTCCATGCTTGTAGCACCCACCACTTCCTGTGGCAGTGAATTCCATGTGTTAATCACTCTTTGGGTGAAGAAGTACTTCCTTTTATCCGTTCTAACCCGGGTTGCCTAGGGTTTCTTAAGTGTTTGCCTATATCCGAAGCAGGCCTGACTTGAGTCATCCAGAATAGGGGTGTGCAAAAAAATATATTTTTTTTTTCAGGTTTGGGTATATTGAACCCGAAAAATATCAGTATTTTCCAATATTCCTGAATCCCAATATTGGTATGGGATTCGAGAATTTTTTTGGAAAACCCGAACTTTTCTGGCTCTGTTGGTCTCCATAGGATATAATGGAGAGTTGATCTGGGGTATCTGGGGCTCTGGGGGGGGGATGTTTAACATCTCCACAAATTTGTAGCATAGCTGTGGTGCCTCTCCTCAAACTTCCCCACCACGTTTACAAAAGATTGGACAGTGGTTTCTGCCTTTTACTGACAGAAACCAAGGCATGACGGTTGGCAATACTGTTGTGGTTGCCTAGCAATAGCCACTCAGAGCATTTGTTCCTTAAAGCTATAGGTGTTGCTGCTTCAATTACTTAAGAGGGGTTTTAAGACCTCCACAAAGACATATTGTTTTTCAGATTTCAGATTTTGGTGTGTGTTTCAGATCTGTAGAAAGATCTATCTTGTCTTTTCATGGCTCCATTCTGTGGACTGAATGAATGTTTATTTGCGGTCAAAGACCATTTTTCACAAGAATACATTATTATACATTTCGCCATGCTAAGTATCAGATATATTGATCAGTCTCTCAATGCTGACATTTATATTTTGGTTTACTTTGCCTGCCTCTTATGCACACATGGCAACCAATTATATATCTCATTACCACATAGGGTCACTTGGAAGTTTATTATAGATAGACCATCATCCAACTGCTTACCCCAAGGTAAAGAGACAACTAAGAGGAGATATAATAGAGGTTTATAAAATTATGCATAGGATGGAGAAAGTTGACAAAGAGAAATTTCTCTCCCTCTCCCAAAATACTAGGACTCGATGGCTTCCAATGAAACTGATAGGCAGTAGGTTCAGGACGGGCAAAATGAAATACTACTTTACACAGAGTGATTAAAATGTGGAATTTGCTGCCAGAGGATGTCATGATGGCCACAGAAATAAACAGCTTTAAAAGATTAGATAGATACATGGAGGATAGGTCTATCAGTGGCTACTAGCCATGGTGACTGAAAGGAACCTCCACATTCAGAGACACTAATCCTCTGAATCCCAGAGCCAGGTGGCAACATCAGGGCAAGTCCTTGACCTCTATGCCCTGTTGTTGGCTATTCAGAGGAACTGGTTGGCCACTGTGTGAAACGGGATACTGGACTAGATGGACGACTGGTCTGATCCAGCAGGTCTCTTCTTATTCAAGGGTCTAGCAGAAAAAGGTCAAATTAAAAAGACCACAAGAAAATGCTTCAGGTCGGACTTCTGGTTTTGGCAACTCAATGGCGGATGTGTCCCTCGGGCACTCCCGAGGACACGATCCATGAACCAGTGGATTGAGAGGGGGTGCGATCGTACGCACCCCCTAGGGGCCCGTCCAAGGGCTCCAAGTCATGGGGCGCCTCTCTGCCAGCGTGTTGCCGGCGGACTGAGGCACCCAGAATGCCCCGAAGGTCTCGCCACTGCGTTCCCACACTGGGACTAAGAGGCGCACACTGGGACAAGCGTGTGGAGATCGAGCGCTTTAAACATTTGAAAGCGAGATCAATATGATCGACATTAAAAGTGAGTCTGGTTGAAACAAGCACCAGAGAACTGGCTGAAAGTCCCCCTGGCACTGACAATGTGGGAATGGCCTGAACTATCTGCTGGACAGTGGCACCCCAATGGGGAGGATCTGAAGAGGCCATCAAAACCACAAAAGACCATCTTGTTATAATAAGCACTTTATTATTGTTATTGTTGTTATTATCCATGATTTTATTGTTTTATCTGGTTTTATTTATGGGCGTATGCCCCTTGTAAGCCGCCCTGAATAAATTTAAAAAAATAAAATAAATAAAAGCTACAAGTGAACTACCCTTAAAATCAACAGTAATGAGATAAGAGTTTTAAAAGGCATTCCCTTTGAAATAAGGAAAAAGAGGAATAAATGCAGAGACTTGGCAGTGTTTCTACAAAAGAATAACATCTCGTACAAATGGATTCTACCGGAAGGATTACTCTTCAAATATAAAGACAAGAAAGAAAAAATTGACTCTGTTATGAAAGCATGAGAGTTTTTGAGGCAGCAATCGGGACCAGCGGGAGAAGACGATGAAGACAAAGGGAGTGATGATGAATCACCTGCTGAAGAAGGCTCAGACTCGGAACTTGGGGCAGCTGCCCCTAAGCAAGGCTATCGTTTGAGGGAAAGAAGACATAAAAAATGAGATGCTGATTCTCTCTGACGTTTGCTTTTAACTTTATAATTGACTCTTGTTTAGAACCTTACCAAGTCAGATTACCTGGACTCGAAGTATATAAGTGATTTTTATAGGGCACTTGCAATGTAATAATATAACCTTAAATATTACAAGCTAAGATATGTAACAATTATAGTATCTCCACCTCTTGGGTTTTTAGTGGTTATGCTTTACTTTCTCCCATAGTTTGTAGTTTCCCCATCCAGTTTTTCCTTGCAGTTTCAGAAAATTTAAAAAAAGAAAAGAAAAAAAAGAAAAGAAAATGCTTCAAGTCTAGAAGATGCACAAAGCAAATAAATGCTTTGGATGAAATGTTAAAAATTTGCTAATTCGCAGATCATGATCTAATTCCGACTAAAACATTCTACATTTGCTAATTTGCTTTATAAAGAAATATTAGAATGGAAATGGCTAGTGGTTTTTGTTTGTTTGCTTGTTTTTGGCAGGTTAATCTCCATATCTGCATTGAACACTGAAATAATTTTACATTGTGAATAGGATAGATACAATGATGTCCAGGAAGATAACTTTGCCACTTTTCAGCCAATATACTCCAGGGAACAGGTGCTGCCATTCCTCAGCAGTCATGCAAAGTCTATCTACCCCAGCTTCTCCTTTCAAAGTGACATTTTTCCTCTATGAAATCTTGCCTTTGAATTCTGCTCAGCATTATAACAATTTCAAAGGCAGCTCAACAACTTCAAAGCCATTTGACATGTACCGGTAACGGATGACTGCTTCAAGGTAATGCATTTTAAAAACAGCAGACTTCCTCCAATTATAAGGCTGTTTTTTTCTTTTTAACAAATCATTTTATATAGTATGCTTTTCAAATGAGCTATGAGCCAAAGAAGTACAAAATGAAATGAACATTTCATTCAGATACCATCAACACTACATTCTAGTCTGTACATCACATGCTGGACTTGTACTCAGATAAAATGGGTTTTTGGGGAAGAATCAATGGGTAGGTTTTTTGCCATGCTCAGTACCTATCAGTACCAAACAGGAACAATCATTAAGCCAAGCAGTCAACTGACAAACTCAATTTTAATGAATCATCTGCCTCTTAAAACAAACTGATTGTAGTAGTCAGACGGCAGCAGCTGTATTTCCCCCCCCCTAGTCATCTGTAGCTATTCTATCTATTCTACAGTTCACTCAGCTTATATGCTACTATGGCTGCATATGGATGGCTCCAGTTTAACACAGGTTAAATCCTATGTCTTTTTGGTGATTTTCAGACAGTGCCACTTATCAATACTGAGACAACCTAGAAAGCCCTTGAGGTTGTACATGGCTTGGAATTGAAGAGTTCTACTTTCCCCGCTATAGTTTATTTCCTTACTTAGAAACCAGAATCCCAGATCTTACATAAATGTTTACAAAATGACAAACTATGGTCTGTTGCAAACCAGGGTATTTTGCAAACAGGGGTGCCTTGTTCCCGTACTGACCGACCAGTTTGTCATTCTATGTGAATGTAGCCACTGTACCGTAAGACTTTCTTATAGGCGTGTCAGATGATATTCAGGTTGCCTCACACAAACTACTATCCTCCAGTAATTCACAACAATACTTACCATTCTTGCATTCTTTTCTCCAGCTCTGGCAACAAAAATTGGTTGTGGAATTGATTTATGGATGAAATGTTGGAAAATATTTTATTAACAACTTCTGCAGGGAATGAACCCCTGTTAGCTTCGTCCATCAGTCTACTATAGAATACCTGCAATGGACAAAAAAGAGAGTCAGGCTCAAAAACATGCAATCCTAATGTCCACAAACACATGAGAAGAGAGCACAACAGGAATCAAAGCTTTTTAAAAATGCAAGGATTCCCTAGGCAGGGCTTATAAACAAAGGATGCAGAGTAGGTTGAGAAACAGGGATCCATTTCAAAACTAACCAGAGGAAACTAACTAGAGCTGGAAAAAAATTAGAGGCAACAAATGAATTAAGGGCAGGAGAGTAATGAGAGGGTACTTCTACATGGCAACATTTCTCCATGTGGCTCTCGTTCCTGTTTTGACTGTAGAGGCAATTGCAACAGACATGGTGCATCCACATGGCTGTTTTCCCTATACTTTCCTTCCCACAGTCCCCCAAAGCAAACATTTCCTCCCATACCATACCACCAGAGGGCTTTTTCAGGTTTTCAAAAAAATTGATAATTGATGTATCCCTATAGCATTAATGCACTATAGCAATAGGTGATTTTCAAAAGCCCCTGAAATCCCTCTGGTGGTGCAGGAGGGATAGCAGTCACCAGGACTGGGCAAAAAAACCCCAGCCACCAGTACTGGTGGTACCTGGAAAAAATCCACACCTTC